ACTCCATACTCCTGCTGCACAGGCAAAAATCAGACAGAACCCTATAAGCATGGATGTGTGTTAATGCATAAAGCTGCAAACTAGGCATGCAGATCTGATCCTTTGAGGTTTCTGGTAATCTTAAAAAGGACACACATTTTATAGAGTCTTCCCTGGCCAAAATATTTACATACATGCCATGTTATAACAGAGAACCATATGTCAGCAACTCATTTTGGACAGTCTCCACTACATAGTAAATGGTCTCAAGATTGCTTTGAGAAAAAAAATTTTTCACCTACAATGGTTATAAAGGGGCTCTTCTATTTCACACTTACGTGTTGAATATGGTATCATCTACAACCACGTTTGTCAACCGGACAAAAATCTGCCAGTACAGTCTGAGTGTGTTCTGTCTCCCGTATACAAGTAAGCCAGAGAGAGCACAGCCTGCAATCACCCCCCCCCCCCCCCCCCCCCCCCCCCCCCGCCTCCTCTAGCAACCTAGAAAACTGTGCAGGCCACCTGCCCACATCCTATCAACCAATGACGTCATCAGTTGCTAAGGGCTTGTCAGGCGGCAGGCACACCTTTCTAGGTTGCTGAGAGGAAAAACAGATAGGAGCAGAGAACCAAGAGGAGGTTCAGGTTGTGCTTTATCCATCTTGTCTGTATACAGGAGTTAAGACAGAACACACGCAGACATGGACTGTACAGTTTGATTACCTCCCCCATCTCCTCCTCACACTGCTCTTGTACTTGTAGAAGAAATTGTGGGTAGGGGCAGTAACCAAAAGGAGGGGGGGGGGGGGGGTCTTTTAGGGCTTGTTTACACCAGGTGCAAAGCTGTAACATGCAAAATCATGCCTTTTTCTGCACAAAAATGTGCTGCCTTTTGCAGACGCATGCGGGTGCCATTACTTATTAATGGCACCTCCATGCATCTAGCAAAATGTGCGTGCGCTTGCACCCAATGAAAGCATAATACTGTAGTACAATGCATTTTGGTGCGGCACAAGTTTAAAATTATGCTTGTGTGTTTCATGCACATAGAGCAGCCTATTAAAAAGCACGATGTGCCGGAACACACAAAAAAAGAGAGTGTGTGCTTGGATGCACCTCCTGGTGTGAACAAGTCCTCAGACTGGTATGCCCCAAAAATTGTACACAATTCTAAAGGGTGTCTTACTGAAAACATTTTGAAAAACACCAATCTATAAACCTAGTATAATTATTAGGAGCTTGCATTATTCCTGAGCTCATCAAATATAAATCCTTAAAGACACACATTACTTTTCACTTTCTTCTCTTTCCAGGCATGTACAAAAATAGGTCACCTCTTGCACATAGTGACAGCTGTCCAATAACCTCTCAAAGATTTTAGATATTATGATGCCCCAATCACTACTTACCAGAACACATCAACCTGTTCCCTGACAAATGACCTGCATACAGAGATCAGCACTGAGTGGAAGACTATCCACAAACAGCGGTGAGGAAGAACACATGAAAGAACAGGAAGACAAGACATCACAGATGACTAGAGGCATTTTCTCTATACCTGGGACTGAACTGCTCTCATTAATAATTAGGGAGCGTTCTGGTTTATGACTGATTAAGCTGTCACCTGTCACATATGCAGCCCAAGGAGAAATTTAATGATGATACAATACTTCGTTCACACAAACAGCCTCTCCTGTCTAAGACTTCAGACACTTTGATGTTGGTAAACTCGGTTCTAGAATCAATTATAATAGTGCATTTTGTTTTATATTTTAAAGATGCAATAATTAAAATGAGTTAAATAGATCTTGCAAGTTTACCAATAAACTAAAAATCTCTGCTGTCCCTGACTGTAGAGGAGTTGGATGCATTTGTTGTGCAGATATCACCAGTGTTGGCCCTGCCAATAAATGTGTTTCTAAGAGCCTACTTTCCCACTGAAGAATGGCCTAGGATAACTTCAGTGACAGCACTATATTTATGAATATATTTAGATGTCTGTATAAAAGGGAAGGAGGAAAATTTATTTAACCACTTGCATACGTTGCTGGAGTTCAAGCAGTCATGCTGGGATGATGCCTGCAGCTGCAAGCATCATAACTGTACCATTTTTTTTTTTTTTTTTTTTTTTTTTTTTTAGAGCCGGGGGTAAGCTCTCTTGTAAAAGCAATTTAAGTGGCTAACTAGCTTCTTGATCGCTTTTACAAGCAGCAGGAGGGTACGTTTCCCCCCCACCCCTTCTGCCACTTTCCACAACTCCCTCTAGCTGTCCCATTTCACTGCCGGATGCTCTGAGAGCTGAAGAAAGCCAGGATCAGCATTGATTGGCTCTGCTATAGTAACCCAGAAGCGGTGACCTGACATCGCTTCACTCGGAACTAAACAGCAGCATTTTTAAAAAACTGAAATTTCGATAACACTGATCTTGGTGTTTTGGATGCTTTTAAGGACAGATGAGGGATTTGGGATCCCTCCATAAAGAAACTATTGCTGTCACAAGGATTAAAGTGCCCCTGTCCTCCCGCACAAAGGGGAATGCACACGTCAATCCTGTAGGCACACAAACAGTGATCGTTCCACACAACTGAGGTATCACCACAAACGTCAGTTCATGGGCAGTACCTCCTCTGTAAATATAAAGTGGTAACATGTCAGGCATGCGCAATATTAAAGTGTGATGTGTTTGGTAACCATTTACTCAGCGTTAGCATCATCTTTTATATTTTACAAAAAAGTGGGTTATGTATTGCGTTTTTCCCCAAAAAGTTGTATTTGAAAAAACTGCTGCAAAATACCGTGTGGCATAAAAAAATTGCATGACCCACCATTTTATTCTTTAGGGCCTCTGTGTTAAAAATATTTATGTTTAGGGGTTATAACTAATTTTCTAGCAAAAGTACTGATTTTTACGTGTAAACAAAAGTGCCAGTAAAAAGGCCTGGAGGCCAAGTGATCTCATGTCTAACCTAGCCTGTTTGGAGCAACACTAAACACAACAAGTTCCAATCTGGTCCCCGAGGGTCATGTATTTATTGATTAGGTGCTGCCATCTTGCTTTGCGTATGCTGTATGCTGTGCCGAAGGTGGTGCAGGTTGTCCGCCAGACACAGAAGACCCCATCCTGTATATTCACTGTGTTTTGTATATATTACCCAGCGATCATGCCCCAGCCCTTCCCATAGCAAATAACGTACAGTCAGTGAAAGTGGACAAAGGTCCAAAAATGCAAGTCTAGATCCTTTTTTTTTTCTCCACAAAAATCATATCACATTTTGCATTGTGCAAGTATGCTCCCAACTGCTATGGATGTCGAACATTCTCTGTTTTCATTGCATGATGACAATGTTGTGAAGATGTGGCATCAAAATACCAAAGGAATGTCCAAAGAAGGTAGATGACAAACATGGCATTTACAAGTAGGGATATCTTGACATGAAATACTTGTTTTTCAATAAGAGGGGGTGTGAATCCTTGTGAAAAGCACATCAAAAAGTCCTAAGAACTCTACATAGTTTGGTAGGGTTCACATAAAAGTTATCTGCCTATTGCTTCTTAATGTATGGTTTCCTTTTCCATCTAGGTTCACAGACCTATTGTAATCAAAAAACATGACCTGCAAACTAGTCTTATTCCTATTGTTTGGCTGCAGTCCTAAAAAGGAGATTGTATTTTAGAAGTGGAAATCAGGGAAAATTATGGCGAAAGTCTGATAGGAACTGTGTGCAATCATCTATATTATAGATTCTGTTGAGTACAATTCTCATTGAAATGGGTTAACATAAATAAAAATTCACCTTGGGATACATATACAGAAAGGTGATTTTTTTTTTTTTATGGGGACAGGTAAAGAAATTAGTTGATAACAGAAGTAAAATTGGGAAGGTGAAGTTTATGCTGTTGAGGATTTTTCTTATTTATTACAGGTACTTCTATAGAGCTGTCAAATTACATAGTAGTTTACATATAGTGGAGAAAATAAATATTTGATCCCCTGCAGATTTTACTAAATCTTGTCTCTGATGTCTTTTGACAGCTCTTTGGTCTTGCCCATGATGGCGAGTTTTGAATGGAAGAAGAAAAAAAAAAAGATTATGTGGACAGGTGTCTTTTATACACATGAGTTGTCGTTCTGAGCACCTTCTTTAACTGACAGGACTAATCTCTGTACCACAATGAGCACATAGCCAGTGTGTAGGAGCCAGAATTGCTGTTGGTTGGTAGGGGATCAAATACTTATTTTACTCACTGAACTGCAACTCAGTTTATAATATTTATTTATTTCAGGTACTTCTATAGCGCCACCAATTTACACAGCACTTTACATATATATTGTACATTCACATCAGTTCCTACCCTCAAGGGGTGTACAATCTAAGGTTCCTAACTCACATTCATACAAATACTAGGGCCAATTTAAACAGGATCCAATTTACCTAACAGCATGTCTTTGGAGTGTAGGAGGAAACCGGAGTACCCGGAGGAAACCCACGCAGACACAGGGAGAACATGCAAACTCCAGGCAGGTGGTGCCGTTGTTGGGATTCGAACCAACAACCCTAGTGCTGCCAGGCGGACGTGCTAACCATTTAGCCACTGTGCTGCCCATTGTATCATGTGTTTTTTCTGGATTTTTGGTTGATATTCTGTCTTGATCATTTAAATACACCTATGATAAAAATTATAGACCTTTCATTTCTTTGCAAGTGGGCAAACTTATCTGCAGGGAATCAAACAATTAGTGTGTGTGTGTGTGTGTGTATTAATTACATTCACATCATTCCCTAACCCTCAAGGAGCTTACAATCTAAGGTCCCTAACTCACATTCATACATACACAAGCTGGGGCCAATTTAGACAGGAGCCAATTACCCTACCCGCATGTCTTTGGAGGAGTGTGGGTCGAAACTGGAGTACCCTCAGGAAATCCACGCAGGCGTAGGGAGAACATGAAAACTCCAGGCTGGCAGTGCCATGGCTGGGATTTAAACAGATGACTCTAGTGCTGCTAGGTGAAAGTTCTAACCCCTAAGCCACTGTGCTGTCCATATGGGGGATAGGGAGACCCATAAACAATGTTGCCAAATCAAACAAGTCACGGATTTCACATTAGGCAGATTTTCTGATTTCCTTACCAATGGTTCTAGCTCCTTCCGGTCTATGAGGTTCAGTTCTGTCACAAAGTAGTAAAAGTGTTTGTAGCAGGTATTGACGTGTGCTTCTGCTCCCATGACTATGATGCGGTCAAAGTGATGAATGTATACATGGACAAATACACGGAATAGTCTGCACAGTATCTTCTTGCATATCTGCAGGAAATTCTTTGGAAAAGGAACTCCTATCAATACAAAACAAAAAAAAGAAAGTAATTACAGCATCAGTGCAGCAATTATTGAAATGTATAGAAAACTGTAATTACGGTGCACATTTACAAGAATGAGATTTGTTACATTGCATACATTCAAACCAAATTAATTCCATCAATTACACATTGTCATTTCTGTATAAGTAATTTGGAAAAGTGATCATATATAGTAACATACACAAAATAAGTATGTTTGGAAATTCATATTCTGGAGTTCACTGAGGGACATGGGATTCAGGATTTGGACACAAAAAAAAAAACATTGACTAGCCTGGTATAACACCACCCACCTCATTTCAGGTACTTCTATATCGCTAACAAGTTATGCAGCACTTTACATATACTGTATATTGTAAATTCATATCAGTCCCTGCCCCTAAGGAGCTTACAATCTAAGGTCCCTAACTCACATTCATACATACACATACTAGGACCAATTTAGACAGGAACCATTTAACTTACCAGCATGTCCATGCATTTTAACAAAGCAGTGCCAAGAGCATGATCAAACACTGAGGAGTGGGACCTTTGTCCACTTGCAACACTTATGGACTAGACATTTGTCCTTGTGTAAGATCAGAAAATGTTTTTTTTTCGCCAGTTGAGACACATACCTTGGAGGTGAAGGCAACAAGGACACGACCTTGCAAGAATGTGGAAAGGGGGAATATCCCTGATACATTCAAAGGGTGGTTTCCTAAGTGGTGAGAGAGCCAAAGCCACATGGGAAACCCCTTGTATGAAGGTCTCAATCAAAGGAGTAGCACTCAGTCCTTGGAACATGTGCTATGATCTGGTCTTTGATAGTTCTCAGGACCAAATGTTCTTATCCCCCCTTGTGCTATCAGTTGGAAATCAATTTGTCGGTGTACTAGCACACTAACCCAGCAGGAGGGGTATGGACAGAGTGACAGATTACTGCTGGGTGATATACTTATTCAGGACAGAGATGGCCATAGTCCATTTTAAAAGGTCCCGAAGCCCCCTGACATAACAGGAAACCACTGGGACATCAAACATGTTAGAGGTTCAGTGGATCATATAAGGATAACTTGTAATACAAGGAAATAAAGTAGAAGTCCGTCGGGAAGCAGAGGAAACAGTAGACCTGACAAGTTGTCATCTGAAGAGTCGCTGGCTGGTGTCTGGTAGTGCTGATCGATAGATTTGGTAAATGCTGGAGCACAACAAAGAGTTCAAACCATAGAATGGCACAATGGTGCCAGTATAGCAAAAGATCATGGTAAGGAAGAAGCTTAAAGTTCATCCAACAATTGTCTCCAATGATAAAAATTAAGGTGTACCACGACGTACACCACAGTGCGATAAGTGCAAGGACCACTGTGACAACGGCCTTCAATGTAAACAAGTAGATCAGTAAATAAAAGTAAGCAAAACATAAAATTGGAGCTGTAACAATACTTTCTTGAAAGTAAAAAGGTGTCACCAGCTCATGGAAGGCAGACTGCTCTGTAGGCCAACAGGGTGAACAGAAGGGCCTGAAGTGTATGCAGGAGCACTGTGGCAGTGATCAGGTGTGTTGCAACCCTGGCAGGGACAGCTCACATGGATGACTCACTGGTATCTAGCCAGGATGCAGCAGAGGGCCATATAAAAAAAAGTGAGCTTGAGCAAAGGCAGCGACTCTCACTCCAGTAAAAACTGATAGGACACCTTTGCCCCATTATAGCAAATATCTGGGTGCTCCCTAGTAAGGCGCAGAATGATTTCCTGATCTCTGTAGTTGAGTAGTCTAGCCAAGAAAGGTCTTGAAGGAAGGCCAGGTGGCAAAGAGCGAGTCAGGGTTTTGTGCGCGTTTTCCACAGTGAAAATCAAGGTAAAAAGGCACCCTTGCTGGAAGCTGCAATAGCCACTGCACTATGAATTTGGTTGGGTCTTCATCCTACACTCATTCCAGAAGGCCCACAATTCTGACATTGTTGTGGCGCATTCGGTTTTCAAAGTCCTCATTGTGCAAATTATTAGCTCTAGCCAGTTGAGAGGTAGCCCAGGACTCAAAGTAGTGGGGGCAACCGCAGACACTGCTTTCCACAGCTGTAGTGTGCTCTTGGATCTTTTGGAGATACTACTGTAGTAGGGAGACTTCCACCTTCAGGCCACCCAACTGATCCTGCAAAGTGTGTACCAAGGCAGTGCAAGTATGTACAGCCTGGAGAATTTCACCCAGCGTGGGCTGTGGGGTGTCCTCCTCCAGATCGTCAGCAGCAGAACCCCAGGGGATCTCTCAAGGTCTGTGTCAGGCTGATCCCCACATGGCAATGGTAAGGCCTGAGCTGTGTCTAGTGCGGCCTCCAGGGACCCCAAGTGTCCTGCAATCATCTGCTTTTGGGCATAAAAAGAGCATATCCTGCTGTTCCTTTCCCTGTATGGAGGATGGATTTGCCCAGTTTACTCACTGTCTCCTTTTGATTGTCAACAGAGTCATGCAGTGTTCGCTGCAGGCAGAGGAGATTGGGCGTCAATGTGGGCATCAGCGGTGGCAGCTTCCTTCTGGTTTTACCTAGTCATATCAGTCACTGAGTAGAGCAGAAACACACTAAGCTGGTCTCTAGGGTGCAGGCTGTTGTGGCAAGTAAGTAGAACCAGGAAGGAAGGCCGGTGACAGGATCAGTAGCAGGAGCACTGTGCAGTGAGTCTGTTCACATGCCTAGCTTGGCCACGCCCCTTCAGTACCAAATGCTGATCCAAGCCTGATTGTCAACATGTCAGGGATCATCCCAAGGGTGAAAATTTTGAGTATAAAAGTTTCTTCCCTAGAAAACTATGCTTTTATGTGTGATGATAGACCTTGCAGGAAGTGGACTTTCTGGCTTTTAACATTGTGGGGTTCACTGCGTCCGAGTGACCCTGTTTCCTAAGACCTTGGCTTAAACAGCCAAGCCATTAAAGGTGGCGACCATGAAGAAGGATGGTAAACTAGTCCTTGTGACAGACGATCCAGTGAATCTTGAAGAGCCTACAGAGTAACTGCCGGGAATGTGATCAGGTCAGAGTACCACCAGATAACAGGAATGCACTCCATCTCAATCCTAAAAGGGGGTTTAGAGAAGGAAAGGCGTAGATCAGGTTTTACTGATTGCATGGAACCACCTACTGCTTCTGCCAGGGAATCTCTGGAAAATTCCTGGCCTCCAGATTCAGGTTTGTTTCCAGGCACAGACTCCAGAGATGGGTTCCTGATCCACCAGGCCAGAAACAACATGGTCTTTGTTTAATCTGCGGCAGCACAGTGGCTAAATGGTTAGCATTTCCACCTTGCAGTGTTAGGGTTGTTGGTTTGAATCCCAACCACCTGCCTGGAGTTTGCATGTTCTCCCTGTGCCTGCGTGGGTTTTCCCTGGGTACTCCAGTTTCCTCCCACACTCCAAAGACATGCTGGTAGGTTAATTGGATCCTGTCTAAATTGGCCCTAGTATGTGTATGTATGAATGTAAGTTAGGGACCTTAGATTGTACACCCCTTGAGGATTAAGGACTGATGTGAATGTACAATAAATATGTAAAGCTCTGCGTAAATTGACGGCGCTATATAAGTACCTGAAATAAATCTCTGAACAAACCTAATCGCCTGAAACCTGATTAGTCCCACAATGACAGGATGTTGAGTTGAAAGTCTGGAGTGGAACTGAGAATGAAAGAGGCTACCATCAGCCCCATAACTCATGTGAAAGATGTTACATTACAGCACCTGCCTACACTCCCCGATACCACCCCCCACCTCAAACTCTGGGTGGGATCTTCTCCCTACATTCATGATTTAAAAATAGAGTGACCATGTGGGGCTTTGCCCAAATGCCTCGCCATTCATTTACAGAGTTCTGCAAGTACTGTCATCCACCGTGGGAGAAGGCTTGTAGTTCTCAATGACCTACGGAGGGTGCTTGTAAGCGCTCTCATAGTTCACGGATTCTTCCTGCAGCTCAGTAACTGCCTGCCTACACAGGAGGTATGGGCAGACAGCTGATAGAAGTCTTCAGAATTCTGGCATTGCACATGAGATCTGCGGATCATGGGTGCAATGCCTTACAGGTTGCATTGTAAAAAAAAAAAAAAAAAAAAAAAAAATTATATTTTTCTTTTCTTGCCTACAAAAATACCTGCATTTTTTTTTTACTTAAAAAAAGGTGAATTATCCTTTAATCATTTTTAAAGGAATAAGGTCAGACAATTTTCAGTGCACATAAGGACACTTTACATTATAGCAAAGCGTCACATGAAAAGATAGAATAAAATATTAAAAATGTGAGGGGTGTGTTCACTTCTGTGAGATACTGTAATTAATATATATATATATATATATATATATATATATATATATATATACACACACACATACATACACACATACACACACACACACACACATATATTGCCAAAAGAATTGGGATGCCTGCCTTTACAGGCACATGAGCTTTAATGGCATCCCAGTCTTAGTTTGTAGGGTTCATATTGAGTTGGCCCACCCTTTGCTGCTATAACAGCTTCAACTCTTCTGGGAAGGCTGTCCACAAGATTTAGGAGTGTGTCTATGGGAATGTTTGACCATTCTTCCAGAAGTGCATTTGTGAGGTCAAATTGGACGAGAAGGTCTGGCTTGCAGTCTCCAGTCTAATTCATCCCAAAGGTGTTCTATCAGGTCAAGGTGCAGGCCAGTCAAATTCCTCCACCCCAAACTTGCTCATCCATGTCTTCTTTTTTTTTTTCTCTACACAATCACCAGCACATTCCACAGATAATCAATTGGATTGACATCTGGAGAATTTGGAGACCAAGTCAACACTCAAAAAAGGGACATCATGGGCACCCTGACTGGAATGCAGGTATGCAGCCCAAACGCAACAAACTGATGTACTGTGTGTTCTTACATCTTTCAATTGAAACAAGCATTATTTTTTTCAGCAATTTGAGCTGCAGTAGCTCTTCTATTGGATTGGACTACAAGGGCCAGCCTTCA